GCATTTCCTCCAAACAACCGAATTTCAAAAGATCTTGGTTAACACAAGCTTCTGTCCACTTTCTGTCCACTTTCTTTGCAACATCGTGTGAAAACATGAGGCACAAACCCAGTTTCTGTTTGGGATTTGTGTGGATTAACCAGCAGATTTACCCCCGTGTGATAACGTCCCTAGAGAAGTGTTCTCTCAGATAAAAAAAAAAAAAACAAAATGGGTTTTTTATTTGTGGCTTTCTACCTTCATGGGGATCCTGGTCCACTAGCCCCAGCAAATGTGAAAGATCCACTGTATATATGTCAAGCGCACAGCGGTATATATTTGGGCAATTTTAGTCTCTGGACAGGAATGGCTCTTCCATGAAATGAGGGGACCACAACTGGTAATCCCAGTGGCATGGAGGATTCAAAGCATCTAAAGGTAAAGGTAATGAATGTCTAGTCATAACCGACTATAGGGGGAGGTGCTCATCTCTGTTTCTAAGCCAAAGAGCCAGCGTTGTCCAAGGACTGCTCGGGTGGTCATGTGGGCAGCATGACTGCACCGAACGCTGTTACCTTCCCACCAAAGTGTTACCTATTTATCTACTTGCATTTGCATGCTTTCAAACTGCTAGGTTGGCAGAAGCTGGGACTAGTGACAGGAGCTCACCCCATCATGCAGCACTTGGGCCTCAAACGGCCAACCTTCTGATCTTCAGATAATCGGGACTGGCATCTTAACCACTAAGCCACTGCATCCCTCGAGCATCTTCCTGAATGTAAAAAATAATCCACCTTCAGAAATTTGGCTTCAGCCTGCTATTCTCAGAGGCTGAGCCAGGGATGTTGGGTGTAAGGCTATCATGTCTGAATATGTAGAGCTATCTTGTCTTTAATCTGTGTACAGTGTTTTGTAAACTTTAATCGCTTCACTACTTTTACTAGTAATAGTACTAGAATAACTATTGTGGGCATAACTATGAAATAACTGGGCATAACTATGAAAATACTTCCAATTTGACAAATCCAAATACATTTTAAGTGCCTTGGATGGCCTGGGATAATTTCCACTGTGTGAATTACGGAACTGAATCCTCCTTCAAATGAAAGGTTTGCTTAATGCAGAAATGGGAAACAAAAAGCCCTCCTTAGGTAGTTGAACTGCAACTCCCAGCAGCTCTAGCAAGAATAGGCAGTGGCAGGGATGCGAGAGGTTGCAATTCAGCAACATCTGCAGGGCTGCATTATTCCCACCCCTAAGCTAATTTTGATAGGATAGAGTTGGCAGAAAACTACATTTTGAATGCAGTAACCCTCTACTGTAATCTTAAAAATGTGGTGCTTCTTTCTGTTTATTCTGTCATAAGGAAAATGCACACTTTGCATAGTCAAAAACACTTTTCCTTTATGATTGATTTCCTATGTTCTGACACCCAGCATTAAAAAACAGTTGTGGAGCTAAATCTTGGCTAAGCTTTGCCTCAAATTAAGTTCTAATTTAGATTTTCCTTTTTGAATTTAGAGTCTATTCCAGGGTGGAGGAGAGAAGTCCAGCTCTGGATTATTTTCTCTCTATTGGAGTTGCTTCCTTCCACAACTTTGGTTTTGTTTTGCCCTCTCGGTGCTGTGAGGCGGAAATCCTGGCCTAGATCACTACAGATGTCCTGGCCTCGGCTAGCTTGCATGCGTGACTTCCGCCATATGTGTGCCTGCTGAGTCATACGATGCTTGGCAGGTTGGCATTCTCATTTGGAGGGCTTGGCAGCTTGCATGTGGGCAGACTTTGCTGGTACAGCTCGGCTCGGTTCTTTGCTTCTCCGGAGACAGTCAAGAGGAATCAACTGTTGGGGTGTGGGTGGAGGACAAGAGTTGGCACCCAAAGACAACAGAGATGGCTCCAAGTTCAGTGTGACTAGATCAAGCAAAGGTTGGATTCCACAACTGAACTATCTTTGAGACATCTGGCTGCTTGGGGAATCGCATCTGAGATGGGGAAGTATTTCTCAAGGGCTATTTTATGGCAAGAGCCAGTATGGCGTGGTGGTTTGACGCCTCTGGACACCAGGGTTTGATTCCTGGCTTATCCATGAAACCCACTTGGTGATCTTGGGCAAGTCACACTTTCTCAGCCTCAGACGAAGGCAATGGCAAAGCTCTTCTGACCAACTCCTTCCAAGAAAAGCCCATGATAGGTTCACATTAGGGTTTCCGTAAGTTGGAAAAAAACTTGATGGCACACAAGAACAATTTTATGGCTGCTGCTACACTGCAGAAATTATGCTGGTTGACACCGATTTAACTGTCATGGCTCAGTCCTATGGAATCCTGGGATTTATAGTTTGTTGTGGCACCAGAGAAAGCTAAATATCTCACAAAACTACAAATCCCAGGATTCCATAGGATTGAGCCATGGCAGTTAAAGTAGTGTTAAACTGCATTAATTCTACAGTGTAGATGCAGCCTGAGAGTGCATGTGTGTGTTCCTTTAGAGTGGGGGTCGGCAAATTCCCCTTACCTGGGACTGGTCCGGGGATCCCCTGGTCTTCCGTGGGCCAATGGTGGTGGTGGGGAAATGGCGGTGCACGTGCGCTTGCTCGCGCATGCGCAGTACTTCTGGAGTACTGCGCATGCACGAGCGAGTCGCAGCCACCATTTTGAAAAACAAAATAGCGACCTCGATGGGGGCCGCTCCAAAGGCCTTGGGGGAGGTGGACCCGGCCTGTGGGCTGTAGGTTGCTGACCCCTGGTTTAGAGGAAGCCCAAACTGTTACAGCCTAAGGCAAAGGAGAACATAGTGTCTCCTCATTCCTATATACAAGAGCCAACCAGATGGAGGTTGCATCTTACTTTGGTACTGATGATGCGGCAGCATCCTTCACCATATCCTCTAGTGTTTCACGGATGAAAAACGGGACAGACATGGCCAAGCAGCATCAAATGTGGTCAAGATGGCAAAAGTTATTAATAAGGAAGAACATACAAGCTCGAAGAGGCTTGTTTTTCCCTTAATCTACAAGGAAGGGCAAGATTCTTCCCCCTCTTATTCTCTCCTCTCTGTTGAGTTAATGGAGTGCAAACTACTTCTGCACTTGGAGCATAATTAAT